GTCCAGAGGCACCTAAGTCGACGAGGTTCCCCCGCCTGGGGCGAACATCGTCAGTGGCATGTGGATCTTCAGGGTGAAGCGGCCGCCGGGTTCTCCGCCTGTCTTCAAGGCGCGTTACGCTGCACGAGGCTTCAGTCAGCAACAGGGATTGACTTCTTCCAGACCTTCTCCCCTACCCCGAAGATGACCACTCTTCGGGTGCTGCTGCACGTCGCCGCTCAGCGTGACTACGAGCTACACTCTCTAAACTTCAGCACAGCCTTCCAACAGGGCAGCCTGCACGAGGAGATCTGGCTGCGCCGCCTACTTGGCTTCACTGGGTCGTTTCCTGCTGGTACCCAATGGAGCCTCCGGCGGCCAGTCGACGGTCTCCGCCAGGCACCCCGTGAGTGGCACGACACACTGAGGACGACTCTTGCTGCTCTTGGGTTTGCTCCTTCCACTGCTGACCCGTCGCTGTTTCTTCGCACTGCCACCACTCTGCCGCCGTTCTACGTTCTCGTGTACGTAGACGAACTTGTCTTTGCTACTGCTGACACTGAGGCACTCGCCCACGTGAAGTTGGAGCTGCAGAAGAGACACACGTGCACAGAACTGGGTGAGCTGACAAGCTATCTTGGCTTGCGGATTACCCGGGACAGAGCACAGCGCACCATTACCTTGACTAAGTCACACATGGTGCAGCGGGTCCTTCAGCGCTTCGGCTTCACGTACTCCTCGCCACAGTCCACTCCTCTGCCTACCGGTCACTCGCTCTCAGCTCCACCTTCGGACGAGTCCGTAGAGCCGAGTGGCCCGTATCCAGAGCTTGTGGGCTGCCTCATCTACCTGATGACCTGCACTCGACCTGACCTTGCCTACCCTCTTAGCATTCTAGCACGCTATGTCCCTCCTGGTAGACACAGGAAGGAGCACATGGATGCAGCTAAGAGGGTGTTACGCTACTTGTGCAGTATGTCGGGCATGGGGCTCGTGCTTGGAGGACGGGCTCGAGTTGTCCTCACTGGTCACGCAGACGCTTCCTGGGTTGACGACTTGGCTACGCAGCGGTCGTCACAGGGTTACACCTTCAGCCTTGGCTCCGGCTCTGTCTCTTGGCGGTCTACCCGCTCGTCTTCTGTTCTCAGCTCCAGTTGTGAGACTGAGATCTACGCTGGGGCCATGGCTGCACAGGAGTTACGCTGGCTCACCTACCTGCTGACTGACTTGGGAGAGCCGCCTCGTTCCCCTCCAGTTCTGTACGTCGACAACAAGGCCATGCTTGCCTTGTGTCGGGAGCACAGACTGGAGCACAGAACGAAGCACATTGCTCTGCGCTACTTCCTTGCTCGAGAGTTGCAGCAGCGTGGTCAGCTTCGTCTTGCTTACGTGGCCACTCAGGCCAACACTGCTGATATCTTTACCAAGGCACTTCGGCCTTGTGATCATCAGCGCTTTTGTACTATGCTAGGCCTTGTGCCTACTTGGCCTCACTTGCTCACTTCTTGACTCTGCTTGTACTGTGATCTCTATACATATACCTGCATGCTTACACTTGCTAGGTTGTGTTCACTGTATTGCTTGTTCTCCTTTATATAACTCTGCATGTGAACTGGCCTTGTGGCCATTTGCTTGTGCTCAGTCTGCGTGGTGACGTCGTGATCCACCCTGAGTTTGCTTTGCCTTTCTTGACCGGTCTTGTGACCTCTTTTTCTCCCCCACTTTGCCGATGGGGGTGTGTCAAACATATATGCTATAGTCTTTCTAGGCTGTAGTGGGGTAGTTCATATAGGGTACAACACTTTTAGGTTTCCTACTTGTACCCACCTGCTTGCTAGTTCAGTCATTCCTACCTTCACTATTCTGACAGTAGCTTCTTGTAGAGCTTGTCCTTGAAGTAAACACAATTTTAGTTGTGTAGGGGAGCTTGTTAGGAGAACCAAAATGACTTAGAGAAATCCCTTTTCCAAATTGGTAAGTTGGAGTTGGGAAGTGGGAATGAGCCTCCAAGCTTCAACCCCTTCCACAATACCCCTTGGGGCTCTTCCCAACCATGGCTTCCATGGTTGGGAAGCTTCTAGGCTTGGAGCCTATGTGGCATCTTTGCTTTGTTGGGAAAACCCAACTTAATTGTGTTGTATGGTTGCTAGGTTCTTTGTATGGGTTGTAACAACATTTGGCACAATGTGATTGGTTGGAAATCCAACCTTTCCAATCTTCAATTTGATGGATTGGAAGTTTCCAAGCCTCAAGGTTGAGGGTTGGAAATCCCAAACCAATCTTCCTCTCCAACTCAACCTTCCCGATTGCCTTCACGTCACTTCTCATCGAGCACTCTCTCGATGTTGACTTAGGCGATGTTCGGCAGGCTAGGGAATACAGGGGGGGTTGGGGCGAGGGATCCAAAATGACCAGCCTCGCCCCTAGTTGGATGGGTCAACTCTGGGTCCACCAGAGTTGACCCCACGTCCGAGGTCTTGGCGCAAGCGGAGAGTCGGGGGGAGCTCGCGGGATGGAAACAACGAGATGGCGGGGGGGGGGGGTGGAAGCTGCACCAGACAGGAAGAGAAACTTCCACCCTACAAAAGGGTTGTCGCATGCCAAAAACAAATGCCCGACACACTGTACGCATAGGTGAAAAGGGTAAAAACTGGATTTTTTAAAAAGGGGAAGAACAGTGAGGTGTGAGCGTCCCGCTGAACCAAACGCATGGGAAGATTAGAAACAGAGACAGCTCGTGATTAGGGAGAGTCATACATGCGCGAATTAATAGACGGACATCCGGCACGCATGCATGATCTTCTGCGTATGGAGCCTTCGTTGTTCGAGAACCTTGTCGCGCTACTAGATCGACAAGACCGATTACAGCACGGAACACAGATATCTCCACGAGTGCAGGTGATGATATTCTTAAACCTCATTGGGCATTCGACCACGAATCGGGTGCTTCAGGAACGATGGCAGCATAGCAATTCAACGGTCAGCGCTATCGTCCACAAGGTAGCGAAGGGGCTGTGTTCGTTGAAGCGTGACTTCATACATATGCCTGAACGACCAGACGTAGCACTACTAGGGAGCCGAGCGGACTACCTGCTCTTCAAGGACGCGATAGGAGCTATAGACGGTACGCTCGTCCCTGCATGCATAGCCACGGACAGGCAGCAAGTGTTCAGAGATCGGCATGGGAATATTACGCAGAACGTGTTGGCTGCGTGCTCCTTAGACGGCATATTCATCTATGTGCTCGTAGGTTGGGAGGGATCGACTCATGACTACACTATTTTCCAAGATGCTGTCACGAGGGGGCTAACGTTGCCGTGTGGAACGTATCTCTTGGCGATTCGGGATTCAGGAACGATGCCTACTGCCTAGCCCCGTTTCGATCAGTCATGTATCACCAGCAACGGTGGCAGGATGCAGGCTTCCTCCCAAGGCGCCGGGAGGAGTTGTTCAATTGCACGCACGCAACCCTTCGGTCCCATATTGAGTGAGCATTCAATCAATTGAAGGCCAGATTCCCCATTTTGAAGTTCATGCGCCGTTATAAATACTCTGTCCAATGTAAGATTATCATTGCGTGCATGGTCTTGCACAATTTCATAAAAAAGGGGGAGGGCGTGACTTTGGCGAAGGGAATGGGGAGAATGGGCAGGCACGTAGCGACCGTGGTTCAGGGGAACGTGGCCTCAATGCAAGGGAATCCTCCGATGTTGGTAGGCGGCGCCGGGATTTGTTGGCTGACGGGTTATGGGCCGCGAGGCGCGTTGGGCAAGACACCGAAGTTTGACGGTTTGGACCATGATCAATGCTCATAAGATGTTCTCTACATTCTGCATTATTAGGGTCTACTTGCAGTGCTGTCCCTTGATATCAATTGCTTGTGAGGTAAAGATTACAAATGAATGGGGAGTTTGTAAGAATGCATTAAGATGCTATGTTTTATGTTTTGTAGGTCTTGGGGAAGCAATGGGTAACCAAGTGTACAGTTTGAATGTTATCATACAACCAGCAAGCACATAATAAAAAGAGACTATAGATGCATTACTCTGATGAAAGATGGCATTCACGCACGTATCCATCGCGTAGCTCGTCACCCATCGCCATGAACTGCAACGCCTCAACCGGACGAGCCGCAAAACGAGCAGTCGCTCTCAATTTCTGGCCCAGGGTTGGGCCACGCATGCCGTTGACAATCCTTGTAGCTTCAACACACGGCGCGTAATCCCCGTCTGCAAAGTGCATGGTAACGAGGGGAAGGCATGGCAGATGGGAGTTAGGAAGGCAGTGGTCAGTGGGCTGCCCAACTTCACAGCTGGGAGAATGGGCTGCCGTAAGCATGGTCATATGAAGCGGGGATGGGGTAAGTGGGCTGCCCAACTGCACAGCTATTAGAGTGGGCTGCCGATTGCATGGTCATATGAAGCGGCATGCAGTAAGTGGGCTGCCCATGGGAAGGCTGCGAGGCATGGCATGGGGAAAGCATGGTCATTTGAAGGGGCATGCAGTAAGTGGGCTGCCCAACTGCAGAGCTGCTGGAATTTGCATGGGGAAAGCTTGGTCATATGAAGGGGCATGCAGTAATTGGGCTGCCCAACTGCAGAGCTGCGAGAATTGGCATGTTTTAAGCATGGTCATTTGAAGGGGCATGCAGACCATGATTAAAATGGGGGGAGGGATGGTGGGGGAAGGGGCTGTGATTGATAATACCAACTCAACGGTAGGTATGATGGCGGCTTACTGCGAATAGTAACGTCGATTCCCTTTTGCGTGGTTTCAGCCATGACCTGGAGACTCCGGGCGACGGGCGAGCTCTCGCAACGTCGCCTTTTGTGGCTCTCGCGCTGTGGTGATGGTGTGGCCTGTCCCCCCCCACCATCCCCACCTCCACTGCTGCTTCCCGGAGATGGCTGCGCCCGATTGGCAGCCCCCCCCCCATTGATAGGAGACTCGCTGCGGCGTCTATCCCCTCCAACCCCAGATGGAGCAGCCTGACCTCGGCCCCTTCCAGACCCCCCCGTGCCTTATGAGGCGGATGGTGCTGTGTCCATCTGTGACGAACTATTGGGGATCTGCGTTGAAGGACGGCTCTCTCGTTGGGTGGAGGCATCCGCTTCGGATGAAGCACCCTGTCCAAATGTCTCGTTTTCAGTCTCCCAAATGCCTGGGTCATTGGTGAACTCCTGAGAGGAGTCGTCACCCGTCATGACATTCTGTCCACGATCGCCACCCTCTGGGACCAGCTGCTTCGCAAGGGGCAGCCAAGGGGCTGTGTGCTTCATCCAACGTTTTAGATGCTTCCAACGGGATTGGTTCTTGATCTTCAGCATGAAGGGAAGCTGTGGGGCAACAGTATATTCACGAAAATATGAACAAAATGCCGTCAGATTGAGAGACAACGCAGAGAATGAGCTGGCTGCCCATTCTCAAGGCTGCTAGCATAGGCTCCCAACTACATGGTGATGTGGGGGACCATGCAGTTGGGAGGGCAGGCTTCCCATTCTCACAGCTGTGCACATGCAGACAGTGCGAGAAGTATAATGTGGGCATATCACATGGGAGGTACTTACCTTTGGATCGGGCCTGAGGGTGTTACGTTCGGGGTCCCAATTCACACCCGTCCCAAAACTATGCTGCAAGGTCTTTATGTCCCTGACCCACCCCCTGACGATCTTCAATCTGTTTTGGAGAGTAGTCACGGAGTACCCCAATTCCGCATGGCGAGACCGCCACACTTTAAACACATCCTCCCAACATTCGATTGAGTCAGACAAATTTTGCCCGGCCTCTTTCATAGCATCATGGATGATTAGCAACAGATCGGTTGTCTGATCATTGTCCCACTTTGTGCGGACACCGGTAGTGGAGTCTGTGGTAAACGTGGTGTCATCACCTTCAGATTCACCAGCAGACTCTCCCGTGCGCCTGTCGTGAAACCTAGGCACTGGCGGCGTCGACGTCTGACTAGGACGCCGAGACTGAGCAGGTTGGTGTGTGGTAGAAGGACCAGCGGTTGAGAGTACGGGGATTGAACTGCAATTCGCACGGGGCCCAGATCCACTAATCTTGGATGCATCGGGATTAGAGGCTGGCATTTGTGGGCCTGTCCCACTGCATGATTGCATGGACAGATGTTCCAGTCTGTGCACCAGGCTTGGACGCAAAGACTCTTGACTCTGGCCGGTTTGCGACGATACGGGCTCCATCCCCGACACTCCTATAAGCTGGTATAGGAAAGGTAACGGGGGAGGGGGCGGGGTTTCGAGGAGATGAAGGGGGGATGGGAGGGGATGAGTGTGCATGGGAGGGGATGAGTGCGCATGAGGGCGGATGGGAGGGGATGAGGGCGGATGGGAGAGGATGAGTGCGCATGGGAGGGGATGAGTGCGCATGAGGGCGGATGGGAGGGGATGAGGACGGATGTGAGGAGATGAAGGGGGGATGCGAAGAGATGAGGGCGGATGGGAGGGGATGAGTGCGCATGGGAGGGGATGAGTGCGCATGAGGGCGGATGGGAGGGGATGAGAGCGGATGGGAGGGGATGAGTGCGCATGGGAGGGGATGAGTGCGCATGAGGGCGGGTGGGAGGGGATGAGGAGGGATGTGAGGAGATGAAGGGGGGATGCGAAGAGATGAGGGCGGATGGGAGGGGATGATTGCGCATGGGAGGGGATGAGTGTGCATGAGGGCGGATGGGAGGGGATGAGGGTGGATGGGAGAGGATGAGTGCGCATGGGAGGGGGTGAGTGCGCATGAGGGCGGATGGGAGGGGATGAGGACGGATGTGAGGAGATGAAGGGGGGATGCGAAGAGATGAGGGCGGATGGGAGGGGATGAGTGCGCATGGGAGGGGATGAGTGCGCATGAGGGCGGATGGGACGGGATGAGTGCGCATGGGAGGGGATGAGTGCGCATGAGGGCGGATGGGAGGGGATGAGGGCGGATGAGAGGTGATGAGTGCGGATGGGAGGAGATGAGTGCGCATGGGAGGGGATGAGTGCGCATGAGGGCGGATGGGAGGGGATGAGGGCGGATGGGAGGGGATGAGTGCGCATGGGAGCGGATGAGTGCGCATGAGGGCGGATGGGAGGGGATGAGTGCGCATGGGAGGGGATGAGTGCGCATGAGGGCGGATGGGAGGGGATGAGGGCGGATGAGAGGTGATGAGTGCGGATGGGAGGAGATGAGTGCGCATGGGAGGGGATGAGTGCGCATGAGGGCGGATGGGAGGGGATGATTGCGCATGGGAGGGGATGATGTTAGAATGTGAGCGAATGAGTTGACTGAACTAGAAAGCAGGTGGGTACAAGTAGGAAACCTAAAAGTGTTGTACCCTATAAGAACTACCCCACTACAACCTAAAGAGACTATAGCATATAAGTTTGACACACCCCCATAGGCAAAGTCGGGGAGAACAAGAGGTCACAAGACCAGTCAAGAATGGCAAAGCAAGCTCAGGGTGGATCACAAAGTCACCACGCAGTCTGAGCACAAGCAAATGGCCACAAGGCCAGCTCACATGAAGAGTTATATAAAGGAAAACAAACAATACAGTGAACACAACATAGCAAGTGTAAGCATGCAAGTATATGTATATAAAGTACAGTACAAGCAGAGTCAAGAAGTAAGTAAGTGAGGCACAGTAGGTACAAGACCTAACACAGTACAGAAACGCTGATGATCACAAGGCTGAAGTGCCTTGGTGAAAACATCAGCACTGTTGGCCTGAGAGGCCACGTAAGCAAGGCGAAGCTGGCCACGCTGCTGTAACTCTCGAGCAAGGAAGTAGCGCAGAGCAATGTGCTTCTTTCTTTGCTCCAGTCAATGCTCCTGACACAAGGCAAGCATGGCCTTGTTGTCGACGTACAGAACTGGAGGAGAACGAGGCGCCTCTCCCAGGTCGGTCAGCAGGTAGGTAAGCCAGCGTAGCTCCTACGCAGCCATGGACCCTGTGTAGATCTCAGCCTCACAACTGGAGCTGAGAACAGAAGAAGAGCGGGTAGACCGCCAAGAGACAGAACCGGAGCCAAGACTGAAGGTGTAACCCTGTGACGACCGCTGCGTAGCCAAGTCGTCAACCAAGGAGGCGTCAGCGTGACCAGTGAGGACAACTCGAGCCCGTCCTCCAAGCACGAGCCCCATTCCCGATGTACTGCACAAGTATCGCAACACCCTCTTCGCAGCATCCCAGTGCACCTTTCGGTGTCGACCGGGAGCAACGTAGCGAGCCAGAAGGCTGAGAGGGTATGCGAGGTCAGGTCGTGTGCAAGTCATCAGGTACATGAGGCAGCCCACAAGCTCTGGATACGGGCCACTCGGCTCTACGGACTCATCCGAAGGTGGAGCTGAGAGCGAGTGACCGGTAGGCAGAGGAGTGGACTGTGGGGAGGAGTACGTGAAGCCGAAGCGCTGAAGGACCTGCTGCACCATGTGTGACAGAGTCAAGGTAATGGTGCGCTGTGCTCTGTCCCGGGTGATCCGCAAGCCAAGATAGCTTGTCAGCTCACCCAGGTCTGTGCACGTGTGTCTCTTCTGCAGCTCGGACTTCACGTGGGCGAGTGCCTCAGTGTCAGCAGTAGCAAAGACGAGGTCGTCTACGTACACGAGAACGTAGAACGGCAGCAGAGTAGTGTCAGTGCGTAAAAACAGCTACGGGTCAGCAGTGGAAGGAGCAAAACCAAGAGCAGCAAGAGTAGTCCTGAGTGTGTCGTGCCACTCACGGGGTGCCTGGCGGAGACCGTAGACTGGCCGCCGGAGGCTCCACTGGGTACCAGCAGGAAACGACCCAGTGAAGCCAGGTGGGCGGCGCAGCCAGATCTCTTCGTGCAGGCTGCCCTGTAGGAAGGCTGTGCTGAAGTCAAGCGAGTGGAGCTCGTAGTCACGCTGAGCACCAACGTGCAATAGTACCCGAAGAGTGGTCATCTTCGGGGTAGGAGAGAAGGTCTGAAAGAAGTCAACTCCCTGTCGCTGACTGAAGCCACGTGCAACGTAACGCGCCTTGAAGGCAGGCGGAGAACCCGGCGGCCGCTTCACCCTTAAGATCCACATGCCACTGACGATGTTCGCCCCAAGAGGGGGAACCTCGTCTACGTAGGTGCCTGTGGACTTCCAGGAAGCCATCTCGGCGTCCATGGCTGCCTGCCACTGAGAGGAGTAGGGACCCTCTATCGCCTCTGTGTAAGAGCGCGGGGTCGGGATGTCTGGTGCTCCGGGTCTCCCTCAGGGGCAAGCAGCATGGACACGAGATGAGGTACAGAAGCGGCAAAGCATTCAAACTCCTCCTCTCTGTCCTCAAGAACGTCCGTGCCAAGAGCACACTCACCCCCGACGGACGGAGGACAGACAGACGCAGACGCAGACTCATCAACAAGACTAGTGGCGTAGTCTAGGCGACAGGCCGCAGCAAAGTCTACAAGCTCAGCAACAAGAGCAGACGCAGCAGTGGACTCAAACAAAGGGTCAGTGACAGCAGAGGCCAGAAAGCGCGGGACAGCTGGACGAGGAGGAGACGGCGGAGGGACACGCTGTGGAGCAGTGGAAGGACACAGAGTCATAGAGTGAGTGCCAGGGACAGGAGGAGGACGCGGACGTGACACACGACCAGCGTGAACAGTATGGACAATCGACGCAGAACGAGACTCAGGCGACACAGGACGCGACTCAGGCTCACTACGCTCCGTAAGACCTCTAGTCGGTCCAGAGTAAGGAGAAGGACCAGGCAGTGGAGAGGGCGGCTGTAACTGCGACTGGGACTGGACAGGCGGTGGACTCAGGAAAGGAGGAGCAGGACCAGGAGAAGGCGGGGAACCAAGAACCTGCTGAAGGAGTGGAACGTAGTACGCCTGCGGCTGCGCAGCACCTCCAGAAACAGCAGAGACAGAACCGGTACCCTCAGCCCCAGGGTCTCTAGTCCCAGCAGCACCTCCAGTCCCAGCAGCACCTTCAGCAGCTCCAGCAGCTCCAGCACCAGCAGCACCTCCAGCACCAGCAGCACCTCCAGCAGCTCCAGTAGCACCTCCAGCAGCTCCAGCAGCTCCAGCACCAGCAGCACCTCCAGCAGCTCTAGCAGCTCCAGCACCAGCAGCACCTCCAGCACCAGGAGCACCTCCAGCAGCTCCAGCAGCACCAGCAACAACTCCAGCACCAGTAGCACCTCCAGTAGCTCCAGCAGCTCCAGCACCAGCAGCACCTCCAGCAGCTCCAGCAGCTCCAGCACCAGCAGCACCTCCAGCACCAGCAGCACCTCCAGCAGCTCGAGCAGCACCAGCAGCACCTCCAGCACCAGTAGCACCTCCAGCAGCTCCAGCAGCACCAGCACCACCAGCACCTCCAGCACCAGTAGCACCTCCAGCAGCTCCAGCAGCTCCAGCAGCACCAGCACCAGCAGCACATCGACAGCGCCGAGAGTACCACTCACGAAGCTGCTGCGGAGAGAGGGGCTCCCGCCGCAACGGGACACCTAGAGCACCTCCAGACTCAGCACGCACAGGCTCAGCACCTCCAGACGCAGTACCCTCAGGCTCCACACGCGCAGACTCAGCACCCCCAGGCTCCACACGCTCAGGCTCAGTACCCCCAGTCCCCGCACCCCCAGTCCCCGCACCCGCAGGCTCAGCACCCCTAGTAGCACCTGAGTCGACAGCTACCTTGACCGGCTCCGCAGGGTCTAGCTGGGACACACCTGAGGGGGCAGGACCCTGGGGGGGGAGGGGGTCTACCAGGGCAGTGCCTGGTGCAAGGAAGAACGGCGGGGGGGGGAGAGATGCAGTGCAGTAGGGAAAGAGACGGTAGTAAGACACCGACTCGTCAAACGTGACGTCCTGAGAGGACAGAACACGACGCGAGGTGGGGTGGTAGAACTGCCACCCGGGTGCGTCAGGGGGGAAGCCAAGGAAGACACAGGGAACGGCACGGGAGGACAGCTTGTCCGCTGAAGTATTGCGGACAAAAGCTCGAGATCCCCAGACACGGAACGCGGACGCATCGCCAACCTTCCCCGTCCACCTCAGAGTAGGTGTGGTCTCCGGCAAGGAGACACGAGGCTGAAGGTTGATCTGATGCGCAGCGTACTGAACCGCAAACGGCCACAGAAAATGGGGAGCAGCCGCATGGATCATGGACGTACGAGCCACGTCCATGACCATGCCAATGCGGCGCTCAGCAATCCCATTTTGCTGTGGAGAGGCCGGAAGCGTGAACGTCTGGCGAATGCCCTCCGCACGACAGAAGGCCCTCAGGAGGTCGGAGGAAAACTCAACACCCCTGTCGGAGTGCAGACGCAGAACAGGAAGGTCCGAGCCGAAACTCTCGCTGAGCTGGCAACGAGCACCGCGGATCCAGTCGATCAACACCTCAGGGACCTCACCCTTGCTGCGTAAGGGGAAGACTGTGGTGTAACGCGAGTAGTCGTCAACGTCCAGCAGGAAGTAACGCTCGTGACCCTGTCCACGGACGCGGGCTGGGCCACACACGTCCATGTGAAGAGTCTGCAGAGGAGCCTCAGTTGGAGGAAACGTGGAGGAGTGAGGAGCGGGGCGCTGCCGACCCTCGACACAAGGAACACAGGTAGGGGCAGGCCCCGGAGGAAGGGGAGGGAGGGACCGGGGTAGACCCAAGACAAGGGTACGGGAGGCCATACCTCGAAGACGAGGCAGGGAGGGGTGACCAAGGCGGTGGTGCGAAAGGAGAGTCTCGTGCGACAGAGGACGACACGAGCAGGGGGCAGACGCAGGACTAGACCTGGACGCGGCAGCAAACACCTGACTAGACGCAGCTACCTGACCAGACGCAGAGACCGGAGGAGACGCAGTAGTCAGTGTGTACAGACTCGACCCTGGCCGACGGGTGAACGTGGCCAGGTGGCGGCCTGTCCGAGAGCAAGTGCAGTGGGTCACACGCTGACCTCCAAGGGCGAACTGGTCAACCCACGCGTCCTGGAGGTCAGCTCCACTCACCAGGTTCGTAGAGAACGAGGGGAGGTGGAGTCCCGACAGCAAGCCCGACGGGGCTGTAGGACACGGTAGAACCGTGGAAGAGTGCGCAAGGTCTGGGCCCCCAGAGAGGTCAACCAGGGAGTCTGCGACAGGCCGACTGAGCGGCGTAAGTGTGGAGCTGTCTCTAAAGAAAGAGCGCGAAGCACCAGAGTCAAGTGCGAAAGTGTGCAGGGCCTCAGTAGGTGGAGTGCCAGAGAGAGCAGACTCACCAGTACCTGGAGCAGCAGACTCACCAGTACCTGGAGCAGCAGACGCACTAGCACCTAGAGCAGCAGTCGCAATGCCCGGGTCGGGCGGTACACTCAGGTAACAGTCACCCTCAGCATTATCAATCAAAGCATACATGGCAGCAAGGATAGCATCGAAATCAAGATCAAAGATAGGCACATTCTGCATAAGCAGATCATGCCAGCGAGGGAGCTCAACAGCGTCAGGAAACTGGGCACGCGAGGCGTCAGTCAAGCGACCGAAGCAGCGCTGCGTAGTGTGTGGCAGCCCACACGCCTCCCCACGACGACTGCAGGTGCGAAGAACGTAAGTGCAGGGACCAGCACTCCCAGACCTCCCACGTCCAGCGTACCACTCACGAAGCTGCTGGGCAGACGGGGTCTCACGAGAACGCAGCTGCTGCTGGCGCTGGCTACCACCAAAGCCTCCACGCTGCGCGGCTGCACCTCAACCAGTACCACCACCGCCGCCACCGCCACCACCGCTGCCGCTGCCTCCACCACCTCCGCCGCTGCCTCCACCACCCCCACCGCCGCCACTGTAGCCCCCACTCCCGGCACCACCCCCACCTCCACCGCCACCCCCCACCGCCTCCGCCGCCGCCCCCGCTGTCCCCTCCACCACCCTTGCTCCCCTTGCCCTTGCTGTTGCGGCGCCTCCCACTAGGGGCAGACGCAGCTCCGACCTCCTCAGTACCAACAAGGTCGACAGCAGCAGCAGAAGCAACAAAGGGGAGAAGGGGGACAGGGGAACACCCCTCAAAGAAAGGGGTGCGACGGTCGCCGCGAGAAGCACCTACAGCTAAGATACTCTTCTCAGCTGCAGCAAGGCGCTCCTCTAGCAGGTTGACAGTCAGCTCGGTGAGGCAAAGGGAGAGAAAGTGGTCCCTGACTGAAGGAAGGGAGTCAGGGAGGCGGGTGACTAGGTAGTAAAGGGTGATGTACATGGGGGGGGGGGTTCTTGGCACAGAACTCAGTGGGAAGGGCAGCGCAGTAGCGGGTGTTATTAGTGCGAAGGTGAGCAACGAGGTCAGCGACTGTGGCAAAGGCGGCAAGGTCAGGGAAAAGGTACGGCAGCATGAGGCGGCTGAGGGCAGCAGTGGCAGGGGAGGAGTAGCGCGCTACGAGAGCGTCGTACAAAGACTTAGCAGTCTTGTACTAGCCAAAATGCGCGCGCTCAGCAGGCGGCAGGTGACTACGAACAGAAAGACGAGCAACAGCGTCACGAGTGGTCCACTTCGAGCCAACAGTACTGTCAGAAGTGGCAGCAGGAGCAGTAGAGACACCGGACGTGTGATAAAAAAGGGATACCCCATCCCTAGAGTCACACTGAAGAAAGAGCTGCAGGTCGTCAACCCACACGTCAAATTCAACTGCACGCCCCTCAGCATCAAAGGTGAGAACAGTAGGGCTAGCCATAGCAGTAGTAGGAGTAGTAGCAGCAGTAGCAGCAGTAGCAGCAGAGGCAGTAGGGCAGTGCAGGGCAGTGTGGCTCAGTAGGGCGGCGCGGCTCGGCAGAGCAGCGCGGCTCAGTGGGCGGGGCGGCTCGGGTGGGCGGCGCGGCTCGGCTGGGCGGCGCGGCTCGGCAACTGGCGGCGTGGCGCAGCAGGGCGGCGCGGGTGCTTACCAGGGGCGGGTGCAGGGCCGGGCCGTGATAGCAGGGGCTGCGACAGCTGGGGGCGCGACAGCAGGGGCCGCGTCAGCAGGGGCCGCGACAGAAGGGGCTGCGCTAGTAGAGGCGGCGACGGCAGGGGCCGCGACAGCAGGGGGGGGCCGCGACAACAGGGGCCGCGTAAGCAGGGGCCGCGCTAGCAGGGGGCCGCGTCAGTAGGGGCTGCGTCAGCAGGGCCGGGCCGTGCCAGCAGGGGCCGCGCCAGTAGGGGTGGCAACGGCAGGGGGCCGCGACAGCAGGGGCCGCAACAGCAGGGGGCCGCATCAGCAGTGGGGCCGCGTCAGCAGGGGCCACGTCAGCAGGGGGGCTGCGTCAGCAGGGGCCGCGTCAGCAGGGGGCCGCGTCAGCAGGGGGGGGCCGCGTCAGCAGGGGGCCGCGTCAGCAGGGGCCGCGTCAGCAGGGGCCGCGTCAGCAGGGGCCGCGCCAGCAGGGGGCCGCGCCAGCAGGGGCCGCGACGGGCTAGGGCCGCGACAGTAGGGGCCGCGTCGGCAGTAGGGGCCGCGTCGGCAGTAGGGGCCGCGTCGGCAGTAGGGGCCGCGACGGCAGGTGGGGTCGCGACGACAGTAGGGGCCGCGACAGGCAGTAGGGGTCGCGTCCAGCAGGGGCCGTGACGGGCGACAAAGGGGCCACGACGGGCAGGGCGCGATGCGCGCTTCAGGCAGGGCAGGAAAAAAAAAACGTTCCCACTAGGGAACCTGCTCAGAATACCATGTTAGTGTCAAACTTATATCTGCCATAGTCTGTTGAGGCTGTAGTGGGGTAGTTCCTAGAGGGTACAACACTTTTGTGTTCTCTACTTGTACCCATCTCGTTCCTAGTTCATTCACACCTTCTCAATTCTCACATGGTATAGAGCTAGTTTCGATTTTTCCTAAGGGCCCACCACTGAAAATATTTTTTTTCCTTACCTGCCCGACGCACGCGTCGCGCCTGCCCTTCACGGCCCGTAGTGGCCCCCTTGAGGCCCGTAGCTGCCCCCCTTGCGGCCCGTTAGGCCCCCTTGCGGCCCGTAGTGGCCACTTCTCGGCCCGTTAGGTCCGTCGCACCCCCCCCCCCCTTCGCGGCCCGTTAGGTCCATCGCGGCCCCCCCTACGCGGCCCGTTAGGCCCATTCGCGGCCCGTTAGGTCCGTCGCGGCCCCCCTTCGTGGCCCGTTAGGCCCCTTCGCGGCCCGTTAGGCCCGTCGCGGCCCCTTCGCGGCCCGCCCAGGCCCTTCCCCGGCCCCTTTCGCGGCCCGTTAGGCCCCGTCGTGGCTTGTCGCGGCCCCTTCGCGGCCCGTTAGGCCAGTTGCGGCCCCCTTCGCGGCCCGCCCCAGCCCTTCCCCGGCCCCGTCCCGGCCCTGTCCCGGACCTGCCCCGACCCCGGCCCTGCCCCGACCCTGTCGCGGCCCCGTCCCGGACCTGCCCCGACCCCGGCCCTGCCCCGACCCTATCGTGGCCCCGTCCCGGACCTCCCCCGACCCTGGCCCTGCCCCGGCCCCGTCGTGGCCCCGTCCCGGACCTACCCCGACCCTGTCGCGGCTCTGTCCCGGACCTGTCGCGGCCTCGCCCCGGCTCTGCCCCGGCCCTGCCCCGACTCAGCCCCTGCCCTGCTCCTGTGCTGTCGCGGCCCTGCCTCGGCCCGGCCCCGGATCTCTTGCGGCCCAGCCCCGGCCCTACCCCGGACCTGTCCCAGTCCTGCCCCGACCCTCCCCCGGCCCTGCCCCGGCCTCCCCCCTGGTAAGCGCCCCGCCGAGCCGAGCCGCGCTGCCGAACCGCACTGCTCCACCGTGCCGTGCCGCCCTGTCGAGCTGCCCTGCCAAGCCGCACTGCCCTGCCTAGCCTGCTTAGCTGAGTTGCACTGCTGCTGCTGCTAGCCTATTGCTGCTGCTGTCATGGCTAGTCTCAGTGTCCTTACTTTTGATGCTGAGGGTCGGGCAGTTGACTTTGAGGTCTGGCTAGATGATCTGCAGCTTTTCCTACAGTGCGATAGCAAGGACGGTCTCTCACTGTTCGATCTCACGTCTGGCGCCTCTACTGCCCCTGCTGTTGATGCTGACAGTACTGTTCGCTCGCAGTGGACCACGCGCGATGCTGCTGCCCGCCTTGCTGTGCGTAGTCACCTACCGTCTACTGAGCGCGCGCACTTTAGTCAGTACAAGAGTGCTAAGACTCTGTACGACGCTGTAGTTGCACGCTACAGCTCCCCTGCCACTGCTGCCCTCAGCCGCCTCATGCTGCCGTACCTTTTTCCTGACCTTGCCGCCTT